GTTGGATGCCTCCTTGCTGTATGCAAGTGCACAATTTAATTTTTAAAACTACAAAAGCCCAGGGGATGTTTTTTTTTTTTCCCCTTAGGTAACACAATTTTTGAAAAGGGTCTAGCATCTCTATCTTAATGACTGTCTGTTTGATTATCTCTTACCAAAAGACCATGCCTTTCTGATTGGCCAGTCATAATCATGTTATTGGTCAAGTTCAATCAGTAAAATCATCTCCCAAATGCTTCTTGATGTTCTCTGAGTCCGCACAAGGTATAAATTTATTGTTTTTGGAGCAACATCCTTGGAATTGTGGCTTTCTTAATTTTTATTTTTGTTTTGATGGTAATGCATATTTCCTGAACTAGTAATGTCAGGCCAAGAGTGATTATCATTCCCTTTTAATAATGTTTTGAGTCTTCATGATATTATCATACTCAAGTAGTACAGTTGTGACGTAAATTAAGCCAGAAGTTTAGTGATTTGGCCTTAAGGCAGATTAGGAATGGCCCATTTTTTTGTTTGAGTTATGTCAAACGAGCCAGTAGGCAAGCATTATGCAAATGTGTTACATGGCAATCTGAATTAGTAATGGAAGAAAAGCCTGGACTACAAATGAGGTGTAGCAGGCAGTTTAGGTGCAATGCCTTCTAAGGAAAAAAAGACCTTTTATTTGAAACATTTCTTAACTCAAAATTTTAAAATGCAGGGAAAACTGAATGACAGCATTGAGTATAAACTATGGCACAAATGTTTCTTTTTTCACTTTGTTTTAGCTCCCTTTTGTATTTATTACATTTATCTTGGTTTTAGGTATATAGGTAGGTGCGCCATCCTACATTTTCTGATAGTGACCATCTAAAACAGATTATTCTGCCACTTTCACATACATTTAATGTATATCTCACTTTTACACATTTTGTCTATCACACAGTCACATTTATTGTGGAAAAGTTCCTTTATTTCTGCAACTCAATTCACAAAGTAAAATGTATATCATATTATATATATATATATATATATATATATATATATATAA